TGAAATAGCCATGAGAGACAGGAAGCTTCTACAGGTAAACAGATCTGGTGTTGTATTGTTTTACTTTAATGCAGAAATGAGTCTGTTCCCTGGTCTTGTGCACTGTTCATCAGGAAAAGTTTTTGTATGTTCACTCTTTCATCAAAGTATTGCATGGGGCCCATTCTGCCACTGAAGCAAAGATTGTGCAAAAGTGGTGAATTTATCGCGTCAAATTGAAGCACAAAGCAAGTTTTGAAGTGCATGAATGGAGTGTTGTCATGTTTGTCTCCTCAGCGTTTCCACTGGAACTATATGATTGTGGATGAGGGCCACAGGATTAAAAACTTGAACTGTCGGCTGGTGCAAGAACTAAAAATGCTGATGACTGACAACAAACTGCTGCTGACAGGAACCCCCCTGCAGAATAACCTGTCTGAGCTGTGGTCTCTCCTCAACTTCCTCCTCCCAGATGTGTTTGATGACCTGAAGAGGTAAGAAGGCACATGCAAAGGGAGTTCACGATACTGATTTTGTCTTAAGAACAGAGGATTTTCTTGACTCAATAATCAAAAGTTGATGTTTTTTTTTTTTCTCCCCTCAGTTTTGAGTCATGGTTTGACATTAGCACCATCACTTCAGATGCAGAAAACATTGTAGCTAATGAGCGCGAACAGAATATCCTTCACATGCTTCATCAGGTATCTTCACGACATGACAACACTGTTTTGTATACATTGTCCAAAATGTACATTTTAAGTGGTCTTTGGCTATATATAGGCTGAGTATTATAAGCATTTGTTCTGTTCTTTGCTTTTGGTTTTAATGGCATTTAAACTTGTTTTCAGATCCTCACACCCTTTCTTCTGAGAAGACTGAAGTCAGACGTCACACTGGAGGTTCCACCTAAGAAAGAGATTGTAGTGTACGCACCCCTCACCAACAAACAGGAGGCCTTTTACATGGCCATTGTTAACAAGACCATAGCAAAGCTGCTGGGTCAGGAGAAGGTGAGTGGCCTATTTGCACCAACACAAATGTTTTGAATAAAATTTTTGTTCAGACCAGTGCATGGAAAATGGCAGATGGGCTGAATGAAAATGTAAATGCACTTTATGACAGTGTTGCACTAATGGAAAAGAAAAACAGAAGTTACTGTTATACGCAAAGCGCTGGGCAACTTTACTTTTCTGACACCTGCTTGTCATGGAGTAGGATGTCCAACAGCATTTAGTGTTTACTGCTGTTCAGATTTTTGTATCTGCTCTGGAGTTCATCAAACAGCACCAAATACAAGATGCGTTAACCAAAAGAACAGATTCATTCTGTTCATTCTAATCAATGCTGAATATTTGTCTCGGCGTGAATAGGATATTAAAGTTATAGCAGGTGGAGTGTGGTTGAAGTATTTATTCATTATTAATAGCATCTTTTTGGACACTTCCTTAAGGATGATTTAGCACCTGTGCCGCTAACATCCAGTGGCCGACCAAAGCGCAGGACCAGGAAGGTGGTGGACTATTCTGAGTCAAACACTGACTCTGTGAAAGATCTTGAGAAGTACCTAGAGAAGGTTCAGAAAGACATGGAAAGTCAGGCAAGGTCTGTCTCTCTTGTTGTATTTACCAGTTTAACCTCTGCTTTAAACTCAGCTGTGAGCTTTTTGATGTGACATGGTTACTCTCTCCTTAGCTCCAGCCCAGTGGTGGATGTTTTCATGCCAGTTAATGCTCAAGTCAACTTGAAACTGCAAAACATACTTATGCTGCTGAAAAGGTGCTGCAACCATGCTTACTTGATAGAGTATCCTCTGGACCCCGCCACTGGAGAATTTAAGGTACTTCACACTTAATTGTGCATGCGTTGGAATGATCTGATTTGGTATGAAGGTACTGGCAACAGAGGTACTGATAATCATCTCAATGTTACAGATTGATGAGCAGTTAGTGGAAACATCAGGGAAGTTTCTTATCCTGGACCGAATGCTTCCTGAACTGAAGAAAAGAGGGCACAAGGTAAAGTTCACAATCTCTCATGCATACATTTTAATGATTAACAGCTCTATCAGTGAGTCAAACTCCACTGTGGTTATAAGCCAATTTTGCTCACATTTAATTGCCTGCATAAAATATCTGTATGTATGGTTATATTTCATACACTGAAAGAATTTTAATGTTTTTGACAGAAGTCTCTTATGCTCACCAAGGATGCATTTATTTGATCAAAAATGCAGAAAACAGAAATGTTGTGATTCCTGTGATGCAAAGCTGAATTTTCAGCATCATTACTCCTGTCTATGCTGATTTGCTGCTCAAGAAACATTACTTATTAAAAACATCTGCTTAATATTTTTGTGGAAAAATTTATACTTTTTTCAGGATTGTCAATTTAATTCATCTTTCTGAAAAAAAATTATCTTAATTTCATCCATAATCTTAATTTTAAATTTTTTTTAAACAGGTGCTGATTTTCAGCCAGATGACCTCCATATTAGACATTCTGATGGATTATTGTTATCTCCGTGGTTATGAATACAGCCGACTGGATGGGTCAATGAGCTACACAGACCGAGATGAGAATGTGAGCTGCAGTTTGTTGGTTAATACAAATTGTCATCACTTTACAGTTAGTGCGAGTTCTTTTCATTTGACAATTTATTTTTAATTTTTTTTCATGCAGATGAAGAAGTTTTCTTCTGATCCGAAGGTGTTCCTCTTCCTCCTGAGCACTCGAGCTGGTGGTCTTGGGATCAATCTCACAGCTGCCGACACAGTCATCATATTTGACAGTGACTGGGTATGATTTTAGCTGTGCAACCTTGTGACTTGTATAGAGCCCCGCACATGACATGCAGACAAAATATTTATTGTGGCCATGAAATTAAGAATTTGTTACATCATTTTAGTTAAATCATTAGGGATGTAACGATTAACCACGAGCCGGTTGAAAATCGATTCAAATATGTGACGATTCAAATCGGTTGAAATGCTAAACAAATCGCGATTCAGTTAGGTGTAGGAGTTTATATGAATGTATGTCTGAGGGGAACTTACTGTCTTTAGAAAAGTTAAGATGGTATTTTTTCTTTTCATCTTGCCTCTGTATAATGCATATTAAAGTTCATAAGTGCAGCACTGCTTTGTTTACAGCGGAAACCAAGGAAACGCTTTAAGCGCCACCTGCTGGCAGAGAGTGAATCTGCGTCTCATTCAGCTCGTCTGCTGTTTCTGTTTCATGCAGATATTTTTTGTTTCACAAAACTGAAGACAAATCATTCTGTTTTTGCTTCAAATTTCGAAATGATACAACCTAGTTTAGATTAAAAACTGTTAATGTTGCATGTATGCAGCATCTTTGTTTGGATCATGATTAAAATGCAGTGGTTGCCTCTTCGTGAGATCAAAATCGTGAATCGAATCATGAGTTGAGTGAATCGTTACATCCCTATGGTCATGTTGTTGTAATTTGTTCCCTGATTTTGATTTAACTAACATGAGGGAAAAAAAATCTTAATTTGTGGCCGCTTTAAAAGCAAAATGAATAGAGTTGGATAAAGCATCTATTCTTTAATTAATTTTGATTTGAATGAAAGGCCTCATTATCAGCATATGTTTTATGAATTTCATCTTCAGAATCCTCAGGCGGATTTGCAGGCACAGGATCGGTGTCACCGTATTGGTCAAACGAAGCCTGTGATGGTTTACCGCCTCATTACGGCCAACACCATTGATGAGAAGATCCTGGAGAGAGCCTCTGCCAAGAGAAAGCTAGAGAAGATGGTCATTCACAAAAGTACGGAGCTGTTGCAGAAAATGCCACATTACCAACCTTTGGATTTAATGAATTGAATGAATTTTTTTTTTTTAAAGATCTACGTTTTTGCTGCGACTCTCCATTGACTTTTTCTCCTTGCTTTTGTCTTTTTAGATAAGTTTAAAGGTTCTAAAGCAGAGCTCAACCAGACCAAGAGCTGTGTGGATGTAAATGAGCTTGTGGAACTGCTGAAGTCCAGAGACTATGACGGGTATATTCATTCTGTATATCTGACTGTCACAAGACTTTTAATCCATCACAAAGTATTGCTATATTCTGTAGTAAGTTGCATCACAATGACTGTTCTGATGTGATTCATGCTGTTGCAGGGCAGTGAAAGGCACTAAAGGAAAGGTCATCAGTGACAAAGATCTGGAGATCCTGTTGGACCGTAGTGATTTAATGAGTAAGTGTCCTTTTTGTCTCAGATCTCAATGTCTTTTTTTGTGTCTTTTGTAATGTGTAGATTCCACTGCATATTGATTTTCATAGTAATACTTTGACATTTGAATGCCCGTCTCATGTGAATCAAATCTCCCTTTTCAGATCAAGCCAGGAAGCGTGTTAAACGGGAGAAGGACGGGGTGTTTAAAGTTATTGAGACCAAAGATGATAGTGGTGACATCAGTCTGTCTTGAGAGCACTGACACTTGAAATCTGCCATTAGGCCAAAGTTGAGTTATCATTGCCACACTGATCAAGCAACATTAACTGGTCCAAAAGCTGCCTGCTGGTTCTACTCAAAGATTGAGATCTTTTCTATTTTAGACTTTAAGTTGACCACTGCTGCTTTTAATAAGTCCATCCTTGGTTATGATTTTTAGCAGATTTAACATGTATCTTTCTTTTCAATGCCATGTCAACTTTTGTTTTGGGATTAGCATTAAAAAACAGGAATCCCACATTTTGGCTACTTTGTAAATACTGTTGTACATTTCATATGTAGTTGACTGAATAGGAATCGCACATGTAAACCGCTTCAAAGCACTTTGACATTCTAGAACAGTGGTTCCCAACCCTGGTCCTGGAGGCACCCCAACACTGCACATTTTGCATGTCTCCTTAATCAAACACACCTGATTCAGGTCATCAGCTCATTAGTAGAGACTCTTAAGACCTGAAATTGGTGCATCATAGAAAGGAGACATGCAAAATATGCAGTGTTGGGGTGCCTCCAGGACCAGGGTTGGGAACCACTGTTCTAGAATACTGTAGAACAAACTTTGTTTTAGATTTCATGCTTTCAAAATATTATAAATATTTTCTATACAGCATGTGATGTTTTTATTTAAATATGGGCTATAATTTTGCATTTCAAATAACTTGGTGCAGAAATGTTACATTGTTACAGGAGAAAGTGTGCATGTGCACACAATAGCTGGTGGTAGAAAACCAACAATTAATTTCATTTTTGCTGGTTCTCCTCTTCTAGTTTTCTTCTTATGTCCTGAATCACTGCAGGGAAGAAAACCATGAGATTATATTTTCATTCCAAAGACAGGATGCATGCAGTTATAATGAATGCCTTCGTGTGACTTAATGGATATGTACACTTCCATTCAAAAATTTGGGGTTGGTAAAAAATTTTTCCTCATGCGCAGCAATACTGCAGTTACTTGATCAAATTACAATTTATTGCATATTGCAATAATACAGAAATATTTAATGTACAAATAAATGCAATTCATAATCCTCACCCTCATGTCGTTCCAGACCCGCAAGACCTTCGTTCATCATTGCAACACAAATTAAGATATTTTTGATGAAATGAGAGCATTCTGATCCTCCATACACAGCAATGCAACTACCGCATTCAAGGCCCAGAAACGTAGTAAGGACATTGTTAAAATAGTCCATGTGACATCAGCGGTTCAACGGTAATTTTATGAAGCTATGAGCATACTTTGTGTGTGCAAAGAACAAAAATAACGACTTTATTCAACAATGTCTTCTCTTCTGTGTCAGTTTTTGCTGCGCATTCAGGAGAGTATCACGACACAAGCATGTGGTATGTGTGTCACATGGACTATTTTAACGATGTACGTACTACCTTTCTGGGCCTTGAACTTGTCAGTTGTGTTGCTGTCTACGCAGGGTCAGAAAGCTCTCGCATTTCATCAGAAATATCTTAATTTGTGTTCTGAAGATGAACAAAGGACTTGCGGGTTTGGAACGACATGAGGGTGAGTAATTAATAGCATTTTCATTTTGGGGTGAACTATCCCTTTAAAGCTGAATTTCCAGCAGCCATTACTCCAGTGCTTAAATGTGGAAACATGATACATTTTTTAATAGAAAGTTACCAAAAAAAAAACATTTATTTAAAATCTAAATCTTTTGTAATATCAAGGTCTTTGTCACTTTTGATCCATTTAATGCATTCTTGTTAACTTAAAGTCTTACTGTCCTCAAACTTTTGAATGGTGGTGCCCATTTTTTCTCCATTTAAACCTGGCAATTTAAAAATATTCTTCAAAAACATTCTGCACTATTTTTCTAGTTTACTAATCAAATATGTTTGATGAAATGAGAGCATGTTTCAGCAGTTTGTGACACTGAGAAAGTGTTAGATTTCAGGTCAGAGTTCATGCAGCATGAGTGCTGGCTGTAATTAAAAGGCCAAACCAAATACTAAAATGTTAAAAAATACATTTATTTTTCTTCTCAACTTTACTCCTTTATAATACAATTTGAATAAATTGGGCTTTAAAACATAAAAATGCAAAACGTCATGAATTTTATTAGTAAGTCATATTTTAGGAATCAGGTCTCATACCATCATCGGCGTGTGAGAACTTCTGAGCATTTCTCTGATGGTTTGTAGTGACGTCAGTGATGGTCATGGGAGGATCAGCTGCATCCATGTGGCCCATTTTCTGTGTGATCTTGTCGCTGAGGCCGAGGTAATCCTTTCGCAAGTCCTCCATCTCCGCTAACAGCACCTCTCTCTCTCGCTCCAGCAGTCGAATGGCCTCTTTGAGCCGTGCTCCCTCCTTCGTGCTTGCCATCTTTTCTTTATGAATGCTCTCCAACTTCTCTGTCAAGACTTGTTTGTCTCTCTTGAGTTTACTGAGCATCTGCATCAAAGTCTCACACTCTCTTCTCAGACCATCGGACTGCTGCAGACAGGCTTTCTGCTGCTCCTGCAGCTGAAGTATCTCCACGCTCTGCTTGTTGTGAATCCGTTTCGATTCATATTTCACAGCCTTCACCTGTTGAAGCGCTTGGTCTCTTTCTATTTTGCAGTTTTCCAACTCAGCGTTCAGTTTTTCAATCCCCTCCTGAAATTCCTTAACGCTCTTCTGATTGTCAGACTCTTTGGAGCGAGTCGACTGAATGAGCTCCTTGTTCTTCTCCTGAGCTTGACGTAAATGTTCTCTGAGGTTTGCAGATTCACTTCTCGTGGCTGATATCTCCTCCTCAAGTCTCTGATGAATGCTGATGTTCTTCTTGTGTTCGGCGTCCATCATCTGCAGCGTCTCTCTACATAAAGCCAGATCTCGGTCTGCTACATCTCTTTGCTCCTCCAGAAGTTTCTGCTTGGTTAGCAGCTCTTGAGACATCTGCTGGAGCTTCCTCAATGCTTTTTGACAGCTCTTTTTCTCATTGAGCTCCACGTTGAGTTGGTCCTTCACGGTGTTAGCGCGTGTTTTCAGGCGCTCGTATTTCTCCATCAGTGCTTTAAGCTGCTTCATAGACGTTTTGTTGTTACTTTTGGCTTCAGCGAGTTCCTTCTTCAAATCTTCAGAGGTTTGCTCAAACCTGGTGGTGATTTCGGTGTTTTTCTGTTCCTCACACTTCAGCCTTTCAGTAACGAGTTGGGTTTCCTTCTCTTTTTGCTTCGACGTCTCTTTCATATCTTTCAGTTCTTGTCGCTTGACCAACAACAAATGGACAAGATGTTGATTCTCCAAGTCCTTCTGTTGCAGTTGTTCCTTCACGACTTCAAAGAAGTCCAGATGTTTACTCTTCGAAGATGAACTTTTGTCAGCTCTGCTTCTTTCTCGGCCCTTTGATATTTCCTTCAAAACTGCTTTGGATGGGTTTGAGGAGCATTCAACAGATCGTGTTGAATTAGACTTAATGAAGTATCCAAAGGGCAGGTGTAAGGCTTTATGATCCATGTGGAGATCATATTTTGACCCGAGGATACTCATCGTAGCCTCTTCTTTTTTCAGCAGATCTGCTCCTGCTAGAATTCTTTGCAGGGATTCAATTGCCTGCTCATTAAAATCGTGACTGACATTTTCATTTGTATTTCGCAGTAAACTCTGTCGCACTTTCAAGAACCTGTTTTCAAGCATATCCACTGCAGCATGCTGGGATTTAGCAGGGAGTTCTTGTCCTTTCTTCCACCGACTAAAAAGCAGCTCTTTGTCATTTGATTGCATTTCACTGCTGATGGCTTCTGGCTTCTGGGTGCCCAACTTATCAGGAACTGGTCTGTCACAGTCCTGCTGCGTGTCTTGAATGCTATCAAGTTTACACTTGTGCATACATCTTCTAGTCTGTTTAAGGCCCGGGTCCATGTGAGTTGAGTTTGTTTGTACTGTAAGAAATCCAGGCAAGTCGTTTAGGCAATGGTGTTCGCGATTTACTTCAAATAAGCACTTCATAGATGTTGAAATGAAATTGTTGAAATGAGCCCTTACCTTACTTGCGTTACTCCCCAGCATCCAAACGGACTGCGTCAGAAGCCTACTGTGCCACTCAATCCCCATTGTTCAAAACGTTTTAAAATGTCTGTCGCCATAGTAACAGGACCAATGCTGGCAACGCTAAGCGCTAGGAAAAAGACGTTATAAAAATGGTTTTGAACCGAACCGGTTCCGCTTGAATGACTGTAACGTTAGCGTCGCCAGAACAAAAGCAGCTATTATCACACTGGTGAGGCTCAACTCAAACTTGGCCAGCAGTTTTGGTATGTCGCAAGACTGGGGAACTTAATATAATTATCTAATTAAAAAAAAAAAAAATTTTAAATAAATATATATATTTGCCTTTGGTTAGAATTTTGTAGTTTTATTTAATAAATAAATTTTTAGTTAACACTTTACAATAAGGGAGAATTATTTAATGCATTAGGAACCAACAATAAACAATACTCGTATGGCATTTATTATTATTTTTTTATAATCGCTAGGACCCATTTCTGAATGCTTACTGTAGGTCTCTTTTTCAAACCTCTTCAGTTTTCCTTACCAACGTTCAGTTTGGCCAATATAAAATGCACTAAACCTACCAAAAATTTCATATGCCTAAAATCAACCATAAACAGTAAATGAATTAAAAGATTAACACCTGTGTAGGTGTTCAGCTAAATCTGATAGTATTTCATTTTTAGATTTGTAATAGATTTCAGTCTTACTGTAGAAATGCAGCATAGCAAATTGACCTGCAGGTACACTGAGTTTAGGTGGTGGTTGTTTCTGTTGTACTTGCGGTGTAAAGATTTGAGAGAGAGAAAAAATAATCTAGGTTAATAGTTAAATATACTACTGTCTATTCCAAATTCATGTTTAAAAAATTTAAAATTTAAATTAATTTTAACTTGAATACAAAAATAAACATTGTTAACATATGGAAGCTTACTGTAAAGTGTTTATTTTTTGCTGTCTTTATATAAAGCACATAAGCAATTGCTTCCTAAATAATCCTGAAGGAACCAGAAACACACATTTTTAAATAGTTTAATTGTTTAAAAAATACATTACATGGCATAACCTTAAAAGACTGACAAATCAAGTCTTCTCGTGAGCACTCCCTTGTGTCAGAAGACTGCGCACAATGAAAGGTGCTCTGAAGTACAACAAAAGGCAAATACAGCGTCACATTCATACTCATCTCAAAACATTGTAAATTAAATCCTCTTGTGATCTACAGCTGATATTTGTACACTCATTTACATGCATGAGGCTATGATACAGTCAAAAACAACACTGTACAGAAAGAGGCCCAATAGAGGGGTGTCTTGGATGGATTTACAACTTCAGCATTCCTTAAAGGCTCTAAAAATACCTCACAAGAAATCCAGCAAAATGCTATAACGTTTTCACACTGAGTAACTGTGTGCTAGAAGGCGAAATGGAAAATGCTACGGATCATCCACTGAGAGCAGTAATTCAACCGTTAAGCATATAAGGGATTAAACATCTACTGTTGAAATTCACTTTCAGATTGTAAAACATTTGTAGTGCTTCCCTGAATAATCCCTCAAACCAAGAGAAATCCAAAGCTGCATGTATACCTGATGATTAAACCTGAATTTATGAGCATTTGTACTGATGTCCGTTGCTGTTACAGTGTCAGTCAGCATGTCGGTGTGTATACTGGTCAGGGTAAAGTATGCTGTAAACTTTGGTTAGAGTCTACATGACCAAACATCACAGAAACTACAAAACATAAAAGCAGTGATTGTTCAAACACGGGGCATGATAAGGCACAGCAAACTGTCAGTTGGTCTTCAACTTTGTAGCTTGTGTCACCTGATTTGTTAGTGTGGCTCTTATAGAGTTCACAACAGTCTGTCGGACATTTTCTTCCATGTATTGCTCAGTTAGTGGCTTCAGCACCTAGAATCAACAAAAAGGGGAAAAACAACAAAAACTTTAATGGTGCTTGAACAGTTTTTAGCCTGTTGCCGAGTGGTTGCTAGTGTGTCCTGAGTGGCTGTTTACAGGTCACAGGAGTCAAATCCCTAGATATGGCTTTCCCATAAATGGACTGGAACTTTTTACACCTCTTTTAACCTTCATCAAAGCCTGGTTGATTGAAGCAACTCAAAGTTTTGTATGTCCATGTCTTTTCCAGTCATTTGCAATTATTATATAAGGATTTTTAAATAATTGTTTTAAAACTGCACTCACAAACAGCAGTGTCTAACAGATGAAATAATAGCTGAATGTGTATTTTTAGTACATAAAAAATGCCCATGCCTTGATTTTATTAAGTCATGAGATTTTATTAACTTGGTCTAGGACAAATAAATTCCTTGATATTTCCAGTTTTTCCATGAGAATGAGAACCCTGGACTTAAGGTCAAGCGTCTGTTCAAAATCCTTAAAGGGATAGTTCACCCAAAAGTTTAAATTCTGTCATCATTTACTGACCCTCATGATGTTCCAAACCCATAAGACAATAATTCATCTTTAAAACACAAATGAAGATATTTTAAATGAAACCTGACAGTTTTCTGTCCCTCCTAGTCTTCTAATCCACACAAAACTTTGACACTTCTAAAATGTTATGACAAAATCATAAAAGAATAGAGTGGTTTAATCAAAGTTTTCTAAAGTGACACGATTGCTGTATTTGAAAATTATATTTTCATCATTTAAAGCATGTTGTGACTTGAATTAAACAGCTTGATTTACAATGTCTTTATGAACTGTTTGAAGCATCAAAGTTTTGGTAAAATGCACTTTCGATTAGGACCGCGATGATAAATCGATGCATCGCGATTAGTGGATCGATTCTGAGATTTTCTGAAGGCGTCGCGGTTCTCTCTAGACTGAATTCTGAATTTTACTGTTAACAGCAGATTGCACTCTAATCTAGTCATGTACTTGCATCTTGGCTCAGAATGCTTTTATGACGCGAGATTAATGTGTAAACAGTCCACTGTGAACACCATTGTAAATCGTTTCAGCCTTTATGATTATATTAGGTTCGAGTTTGTGTAAGGAATTGGAAGCAAGCAGCGTACGGCTGTTGCTAAAGCATGCAGTGCCCATCTGCTGTTAAAAACTGAGCTCAGAATCAATATGAGGGAATCACGATGCATTCGGAAAAATCACAGAATCATTTCTCATCAATTTACTTTCCCAGCCCTGCTTCCAATGGCAGCAACAGAATCTTTCAGGTTTCATTAAAAATATTTCTCATCAGTGATGGGAGAAACAAACCTTTTCGAAGCTTCGAATCAATTGAACCAATTGCTTCACAAAATGATTCACTGTTTCGAAGCACTCGAAACACCACACGCTAGTAACACCTGCTGGTCAAAAGTGTGTAAATGCAACAAAAACTCAGGCTAAAACATGCATAAAAACAGCCAAATTGCAAATGTTTTATTGAAAGTGTAATACATTAAATGCAATACAAATAATAAAATACAATTAAACATGAAGTGTCTGTATGATATGTGGTTTTTCAAATATTTTATATTCATTTGCAGGGCTTACGTTGTTTGTTTTATGGAGAGATTGTATATAGAGACCAGTAAGAGACTATGAACTATTTCTTATCCTTTTAAATTACACAAATGTCTCGTTAAAAATGTCAACAAATTGATGAAACTGATCTGAGATCAGGTAAAAACCATGGTTCAATGGTTCGCCGCTGGGGGGCGATCACAATGAACTTGCATGATTCACGGGTTTATAGAGATCGCCCCCCAACGGCGAACCATTGAAATTTCGAAATGTTTCGAAACAGTTATGACGTAATGAAGCCTTGTTTACTGAAATCATGTGACTTTGGCAGTTTGATACGTGCTCCGAACCACTGTTTCGAAAACAACTGATTCACAAAAGTTTCGAAGCTTCATGAAGCAGTGCTTTGAAAGCGCCCATCACTATTTCTCATTTCTTATTCGAAGATCTTATGGGTTTGAAATGACATGAGGGTAAATGAGTAAATAACACTTTTCTTTTGTGGGTGAACTAACCCTTTAACCCCAAATAAGAGCAATAGTAATGCAAAAAGTTAATCAAGAAACAAATCTCTACATACTATTATAGTCTAATAGCAAGACTCAGTCTCAGTAAAGCACCTCAGTTGAGAATAATGTTCAATGCGTGTTAATTCAATATAAATTAAGCTAAATCTTGACACTCCCATTAGGACACAGGAAGAAAACCTGGCATTAGAATCAAGGTTTGTTCTAAAATGCACAGGTCCTGGGACAACATTTTTTTTTGGGTGGGCCCTTTCTTGTCTGGACTCCATGAGTAAGTTATACTACAGAGGAGTTTCATGGGCCCCCATTGTCTCAGGGCCCAGGACAATGCTGCCCTCTTTACAACTGCTATCAATGGGGAGTCAAATTACTTCCTCAGCTTTAGAAAAGTGGGTTATGACAGGACTAGAAGTGAAAGGTTTATAGGATGGGATGAACACAAATGTCGACAGGAAAGCAACTGAAACAACAATATTGTAGAATAGGCCTAGACATCCAGGAAGCATAACTCACCTGTTCCCACAGGGCCTCTGCTATGAGGTCTATCGCCACACCCACTTCTCGATGCTCTCCCGAGTATCTGACATACGCCCAGGCACACAACGACAGCAGCGACACCCCCATCACCAGACTGGCCAGAGCCGCGATCACTGATAGCCCAATGAAACCTGCTACTGTGGAGACCATATAGGTAACAAACATGACGGCAAACAGGGTGGCCGGAGTTCTGGCTGCATAGAAAATGTTCTTGCTTTCATTGTGTTTCACGAAATTCGTGTACACTTCATCCAGCTCAGTCTCTAACTGCTGCTGGTAGCGCTGACTGAACTCCACGCCGCCCATTTTCTTCACTGCGCAAAACTGTTGCAAGGAGGTTTTCTTAAACTCTTCGTGATAGCGCTGAAGGTCAACAGGGGCGATGTATGGTTTGTCACCTCCACATACCTGTGACATACACACAACAAAAATATAAGCTCAAAATCATTTCCTAATCACCAGACGCATGTATT